CTCTTTCGGTGTCTGCCTTTCTTGCCTTGCTTTCCTCTTGGGATCCGGTTCTCACAAATCCTCATCTTTGGGAGACAAGACACGCACATAGCGGATACCAGCGACGAGGTGGAAGTAGAATGAAGCAGGGACAGACTCACCAATCCAATCATGCCAGCCTCCAAGTTCTCCAGCATCCTCCACAGGCGGTCCACGTTCTTCGTAAAGGCGTAGCTGGCGAGACCCATGGACGTATCGTTGGCCCACTTGACGGCCTCCTCCTCTTTCTCGAACTTGAAGATACCCGTGACAGGTGCAAATGTCTCCTCCTTGGCGAGCAGCATATTCTCGTTCATGTCCGCCAGGATGGTCGGGTCCATGAAGTAGCCGCCCACGCCCTTACCGTCACCGGCGCCCTCATCCACAGTGGAGCCCTTGTGTGCCTTGCCAGATCCAAGCAGGAGCTTTGCGCCGTGCTTGATGGCATCGGCAGCCTGCTCTTCAGCCTTTGCAAGGCCCCTTGGTGTCGTCACAGGTCCCATGGTGGTGCCCTTCTCGGCGCCATGACCGACCTTGAGAGTCTTGGTTCTCTCGACTAGCATCTGCGTAAACTTCTCGTACACACCAGCCTGCACGTACAGGCGGTTGGCGGAGATACAGGCTTGGCCAGCGTGCCGCCACTTCAGAGCCATGAACTGGCCGAGGGCTTGCTCTAGGTCGGCATCGTCAAAGATAATGAAGGGGCAGTTGCCGCCCAGCTCGAGCGTGCATTTCTTGAGGTTTTTGGCGCACAGGCCGGCCACGATCTTGCCCACGCGGGTCGAACCCGTGAAGGTGACCTTCTTGACTAGCGGGTGGAGGCACATGGCCTCACTGAGAGATGGGGTGTTGGCGAGACTCGTGGTAAGCACGTTGAAGACACCCGGAGCAAAGCCAGCTTTGGTGGCCAGGTATGCAAGGCTCAAGCAGGTCAAGGGAGTCTCTGGGCTGGGTTTGACCACCATGGTGCAGCCCGCAGCGAACGCCGCGCCGGCTTTCCGCAGAATCATGGCGATGGGGAAATTCCATGGCACCAGGGCGACGGCAACACCGATGGGCTGCTTGATAACAAAGGTACGCCGGTTTGGTGCGGAAGGGGTAAAGACAGAGCCCTGGATGCGTTCTGCCTCGCCGGCAAACCACCAGGTGAAGCCGAGAGAATAGTCAAGCTCGCCAATAGACTCGGCCAGGGGCTTGCCAGTTTCATAGGTAAGGATCTTGGCGAGGTCATCTTTGGCGGCGGTGATGAGTTCATGCCATTTCATCAGCAGCTGGGCCCGTTTACGCGGGTTCAGGACGCGGTATTCCTGGAAGGCCTTGTACGAGGATTGGATGGCGGCATCGACATCTTCAACAGCGTTATCTGGGCAAGAGGCAAAGGTCTTGTCCGAGCCGGGGTCAATGATGTCGAAGCGCTTGCCGCTCTTTGCTTGGACCCATTCGCCGTGCACGTACGAGTCCTGGCGCAGCAGGTCGGGGTCGTTTAGTTCAAAGGGGAGACTGGGTGCCATTGTTTTAGTTCTTGTGGAAGAGGATGACCGAGATGGATAGGTGACGATGAAGGTCCACGTCAATGTCGTTGGGGAGCATACACAACTCACAAGGAAGGGGAAAGGAATTCAAGTTGGTGAGGGATGAGGTTGTTTTTGTAAGAATGTCTCATCAGCAGGAACCCGAGGGCCAGGAGATATGGATGAGTTTTTCCCACGGCCCAACCGCCTCGTCATTAGAGCTTCGACCCCGCAGTTGTTGCTGATTTGGTGTGGTGGTACCTCTGTGGTCTTCAAGTCTATCTCAGCCCATTATTGTTTGGGCGGAGGGGGCAGGGCGCAGGGACCAAAAAAAACCCCTCTTCCGATGTTGGAGAAGCAGGTCTGACGAGCAGCCATCTCGAGATCCCCCGAAATGGAGGAATGGACGGCATCAAACCGAAACATCTTCGTCCAAGCTTCTCGGAACCACGCTTCTCGAAGCCGCTCGGGCACAATGCGAACGCTGGTTTGGTGGCAAACTAGAGTTTCTCCAACTCCGAGATGTGGACAGAACTGCGGATTCCGATACCGGGTGTCGGAATGTACCACATCTGATTGAATTCCCCCTCCTCCTTGGAAGGAAGACGGCTTTATGATTCAGTCGGTCCCAGTTCTACTTCTTCCATAAACGCCGCCTGCAAGCACAGGTTTGGCCGGATCCCACGGCCCAATCACCACGTTCTTATATCGCTGCAGCCCGATTAGCCACCACGAACATCCGCCCATGACAAATGCTGTGCTAAGTCCCCCGACCATAAACCCGATCGTGCTCCGCAGAATCACATGCCAGATCCAACCCCAGCAGAGCCCGCAGTTCCCATATGTGTGGGTGTAGGATTTGGATAAGATCAAGCCTAGGCCGCAGGTGGACATTGTGACCAGGGCGAAGGTCAGTAGCAGATGCAACTTGAACGATTTGTAGTGGAGATGCCGCCGGAACACCGGAAACAGACCAAACACCTGAATCGAAAACAGAGTCAAGCTAAACACCGCTGTGGTAGTCATGAGGCGCGAAGCAAGCACCGTACTAGCCATCAAGGCTGCGTTAGTCGACAGCGACGAGGGAAATGGAGGCGCCCGGAAAGCATTACTCAATTGAGGTGGTGCTGGGTCTGTGGGTGTGGCGTTAGATATTCCAGGGCCTTGCGGAGCATTCTCAGGCTTTTTGGGCAGATAAAGACTCCCATAGTCAAAGAAGAATATGTTGATTATGAGAAGCCATGTCGCCAGCGCCCAGATGGAATCTGATGATGTCGATCGTGTGAGAGACTTGAGGATCGGCGAAAGTCCCAATAATGCAAAGTAGATCAAGGAGGCGGATTTCAGTGTTTTGAGCCGCGCCTGGTTCCGAGGGGATATGGTGGGCGGTAACGTCGTCGGACTATATACTATGCTCGGCGACTGAGGCACTTGTGGCCGAGACGTGGTCGGTCGCAGGTCGGGGAATGGTTCAATGGAGCCATCACCCAGTGGGTCGATAGGGGAAATCGACTGGAAGGATGACTTGGACAGGGACTGGGTATGTTTCCCAGGGAACTTCGATTCGTGATCCTTGACCCCGAGGTTTGTGGTCGATAGTTTCAGGCCCACGCCTCTTCCCCCTAGAGGGCCGTTCGCATGTCCATTACCAACATGCCCATTGCCGTTCATCTGGACCTTGGAAGAGCCTCCCGAGCTGGTACTCGCACCATCGTCCACATCGACCGAAAGCCGATTGGCCTTTTGCAGCGTCGCGAACTCTTCTGCTTCCTGCTGACCTATCCAGTAGTCCCACATGATCCATCCGCCGACCGTCAAAATAGTGCCGCAGGTCACCACCGAGACCGGGGACAGGCGGCCCTGGTAGATCCCGGCATATGCGCAGATGAAGATGGCTACGGAGCACACGTGCTGCACAATGACGGCCGAGTCTGCCACCAATGGCCAGAAGTCGTAGGGCCGCAGCCGGGGATTTCTCTGCAGGTGGTCCAGAAAGGTCTCGGTGTCTGTATAGTTGTCCGGGAACCCGTGTTGTTTTATCCAAAGTAATTTCTTCCAAACGTGGGGTGGTTTCCGTCTCTTGCTTGCTGCCCGACGTCTTTCTTCGGCTATTCTAGCAGCGACCGGGGGAATCGCTGGCGGTGCTCGTAGAGACGCAACTGCTGGTCGGAGAGCAGCAGCGGCAGCATTTGCGGCAGCGGAACCGCTGATCTCAGGGACTGGTCGTAGTCGCGGCGGCGAGAAAGTCTTGTACGCATCTTCAGGAGCAAGACGACTTGGATCGAGAGCAATCCGATTGACCTGCGGTTTGCCTCGGTTGGGGTGAGTTTCGACAGGGACGGGGGGAGGTATAGGTGAGGGCGCAGGCGACGGCGTTGGGGTCGACGCTGCGCTCGAGGTGTTGGGAGTGGACGAGGATTGTGGCGCCATGTTGCGCCCCTTTCGGTTATCTTGGGATCATTTTGACTGATATGTGAGCATCGAGGTCATCCAACTCGACCACAATGTGCTTGTTATTGTAATTGAAGCCACCAGAATGCATCGGTGGCCAAAGTCCAAGGCAAAATATCTCCCCTGCCAGGGTGCATAAATTCATGGTTGCGTCCGGCAACTCAGCCGAGTGTCTCGGGCTGCGCAAGGCTCCACAAGGCTGCAGTTTCCTACCAAGTCGCTCGTGAGCTGAATTGAAAAATTAGTAGGACGGTGTTCAATCCGGCGGACACTATAACAAAAATCATGCCTTCTACTCAAAAATAGGGCAAAGTTCCATGACCAATACTCCTCCACCCTGAGCTTTGATATTTGGAAACTGACCAATTGCACAGGATGTGAGTGGCGCTCGCGAACAGCAACAAGTTGCCGCCCCAGACTCTGGACGAGACTGCTGAATAATCTCATGGAGAGCAAAAACAGCCGTGACTAGCAAAACAGGTAGGGTACGCATTGTCAGAATCACGTTTAGACTTCTTCTCGGCGCAGCCTACTGCCTACTGGACAAGACGCGACCACTGTCTCGATCTGGAAAGGAAAACACGACCAATCAAACAAGGCCGACGTCATTGGTTGGTCAGCCCATTGCGAGAGGTCTCGACACCAAAAGCCATTCGAAGACCGTAAGAGAACCATGGGCTTCTCAGCAGAAGACTTTGGCTCTGTCATGTTGTGGCTGTTGTTCTCCTCGACGGACCGACACCACCGTTTCAGCAGACCAAGCTCTCCATTGGGAAACAATGAGCTTCTTACATGAAATGCGCGATTGCTGAGATAATGTGGAAAGAGACAGAACTGACCAGAGGAGCGTGAGGGTATGCCGATACTGAAGGCCAGAGTCGGGCAACTATATAATGTAGCGATGCTCATGTCTCAAGAACTGTCTGTTCTGCGTCGCAAGCCAACACCAGCAAAGATACCAAAGCAATCTCCTGAGCACAATTCATACCTTCTTCAACAAATCACGACCACAAAGCCATCATGTCTTTCGCCAACACCGTTCTGGTGACCGGAAGCAAATCCGGCATCGGCAAGGGGCTGCTGTCCACCTACGCTGCGCGGCCCAACACGCTGGCCATCGCCGCGATTCGAGATGGGCCGGATTCTGGAGCTGCCAGAGCCCTCACTTCCTTACCTGTCGGATCTGGCAGCAAGATTGTGGTTGCCAAGTACGACGCCTCATCGAAGATAGCGGCGATTGAACTTGTCGATCACCTCAAGTCAGTTCACAACATCACGGCCCTGGATGTCGTGGTGGCCAATGCGGGTATTCTGAAGCACTTCGGCCCTGCCAAAGAAGCGTCCGCAGAAACCATCATGGAGCACCTGCAAGTCAACACGCTGGCGCCAATATTGCTCTACCAGGCCACGCAAGAACTGTTGAATGCCTCCAAGCAGACGCCAAAGTTCTTCATCATCTCTTCCAATATAGGCAGCAACGGTCTCCAAGACAGCTACCCCCTACCGATGATTGCGTACGGTATGTCCAAGGCGGCCGTGAACTGGGCGGTCAGCCGGATTCACCGCGAAGAGGACAGGATTGCCGTGGTTGCCATGCAGCCGGGTTGGGTTCAGACAGGTACGTATCTTCCACAACAATACTCTTACTAGTAACGACGCTGACCTTTGGTTGAAACAGCCATGGGCAACACCGCCGCCGAATTTGCGGGCATGAAGGCAGAAGAGGTTCCAGTCAAGTTGGAGGACTCTGTCAGTGGGCTGATATCCGTATTCGACAAGGTCGACAAGGCCACGCACAGCGGCAAGTTCTGGGATCAAAATGGTGTGCAAATGCCTTGGTGAGCTCGCTCGCTCGAGTGTCTGGTATAGATACCGTGTAGTTGTCCAAGTAGCGAAATGATGATTGCATTCATACACTCGTCTATGCTGGTTTCACACCTGTCGTCCATTGCACTCTCATCTTGAACATGTAGATCACGGGTAAGCCATGCGGTGCCAGGGCACAGAGCCGAACAGATGGACAAGCCTGCAAACCTGAATATTGCTGCCTAGATTTCCCTTGTACAGGGGAAGAAAGGAGGATCATCTCCTGATCCTCTCCCTGAGTGCCCCCGTCCAAGGCAGGGCGGGGAGTGAGTTCCTCGTACTCGTACAGCGTATTCGCGAAACAAGACTCGAGGGGGGAAGTACGGACTTAGGGATACGGACGCACCTAACAATGTTCCGAGTATCCTCGTGTTAACGCTACGGGACCATCCAAGCAATTGTTGTCCCGTCTTGGAACTGTCGTTTGTCGTCATTCACAGCAGCCCCAGCCACAATGAACACGCGTGAGCGTCATTGTCCATTTCGTTAGTGTACGAGCGCTCATCCAAAACACCACACCTTGACACAACCACTACGACCGAGTACTCGGTACTGGCACCAGTGGTACCCGTGTGCCCCTCCTCTCCTCCTTTCTTTGATCGTAGAAAAAGAACCCTAACCGCCCTCCACACTAATCACCAGTTAAAAAAAAAGAGGTGGGTTTTTCACAAAGGTTGGGTAGAAGAAAAGCACAGCACAGCCACGATTTTTATTTCATGGTCTCCTCCCCCCGGAGCGAAGAAGCCGTTCTCGGCGCCGGGCGGGTGAGGCAAGCAACCAGTTTGCCTTGACCAGTCGGTATCGGTATCTTCCATTGCAAAGTATCCCTACCCGCCGTGCCGCCCCAATAGAGATACGGCACAAGCCCCCCCAGAGGAAATTATTTGCTCGCTCTGCTGCTGGTGTGTGAATGAATGTACCTCGTCCAGGGTAACTCCTTGATTAAGGGATCGGTAATAATGCTGCCTGGATGGGACCGCTGTGGGTAGGCCTTACGATTCGAGTTCCTCCGTACTCGGTATACATATCAGATGGGTTTATGGCTGTGGCGATTTGGCTTAAACGTCCCACATCCCACATCCCAGCATTGATTGAGGCAAACCCGTAACGCACTCCAGCACTTCAGCACTCCAGAGGTTTGGGCTGTTCTAATCAATATCATATCACTGTTTGTGCATTGTCCGTGTCGTCACAGAACGGTACTTTGCTGCTGAAAAAGGGGGCAAAGAGATGGTTTATAAAGGCCCCAGTAAAGGATGTTACGCATGTAGGAAACGTCGTGTCAAGGTAGGTTATACCCAGTCACCAATACATAACATCTGAGGACCCTCGTTGGTGCCCGGTTGTGCTCAATATTTTACTGATTGATTGTTTCCAGTGTGACGAGGTACGGCCTCAATGCGGCATCTGCGTCAAAAGGAAGCAGCAATGCCCGGGATATCGAGACTTCTTTGAAGCTGTGCACAAGGACGAGACTCTCCTCGTCTCCCATAAAACTGGCCCGAAACGGCACAAGAGAAGATACACTCCTGCTCGCGATGTCTCGGGCAATACACCCAGTCACCTCCAAAGCCCATCGTGGGGAAGTGATGATGGTGATCATCCTTACGAGTATGAACTTGCTCTCTTCACTCCACCATCTCGAAATGTTGAGATGGAGTCGTTGTGTTACTTCTTTAAAAACTACGTCAACATCCCCCGGGATCCAAGCACCAACATGTTCATCGAACACATCCTCCCCATATACTTGAACACGGCCCCTCATTCGGCATTGGCTGAGGCTACCAACGCCGTCGCCATCAACATCACGTCAATGTGGATGACACGATACGTCGACTCTTATCGTGCACGGGAAGCATATGCAAAGGCCGTGACGGGCCTGAAATCTTTGCTGCAACACCCAGTCGAATCCAAAACGGACGAGACGCTCGTCACCGTCTTCATGCTGGAGTTTTACGACTCCCTCAATCGGCGCTTTGTACACTTGGTTGACACGGGCGTCCATCAGCAAGGTGCGGTGGCTCTACTTAAGCATAGAGGGCGAGATGGCTTCAAGACTCCGCTCTCTCAACGCCTCTTCAATGCCATGAGAAGCCGTCATATCAATTATGCCTTGCAGTTCGGGAAAAAGGTGGAGCTGGATCCAGAACTCCTTGCCGACGATACTGCAGTTCTCCCTTCTGCGAAGCTTGATCTTTTGAACGTCCAACTAGCAGAGTTGCTTGAACTGTCTCGCGACGGTCCTGAGGTCGCAGGCCTCAGCCTAGCCGACTTCTACAAGGTCATTTTGGAGAGGGCGCTTGACCTTGAGAGGAGACTGCAAGCATGGAGGGACGCCCTCCCTCAGTCGTGGCGGCCAGTATCTGTCCCGGTATCCGAGCTGCATCAATCCATACGCGATGCCGGGATTTATGAAGGCATGTGTGATGTATATTCCTCGCTCGCAGTCTCTCATGTCAATAATGCCGCTCGGAGTTCCCAGATTGGGACACTCCGTCTGATTACAATATGTTCGGAAAGGTTGAAGGACATCGGCATTGATGTCGACCCGGCCATCGAGCCGTACATTGGCTTCCGAATCCAAGAGATTGTGGACCGCTACTGTGCCTCGGTGCCATTCCATATGGGTAACAGAACAACACCCTCATTCCCTGACGAGCACAGAGAATACCCTCATGTGCCTGCGGAGCTTCGTCAGATGGCGGCTTATGTCGACCCGTTTGGTAATGAAGTCGAGATGACCATGGACGACCATGTACGAGCCGCCGCGGCTATAGGTGGCTGGTTCATCATGTTGCCCCTCGCAGGGTTTCTGAAGGCACGAGCCATACATTTCTCGAGTTCGCAACCAGGTTCATTGCTAGGAAAGCTCAGAAAGGGCCAGACTGCCTGGATCCGAGTCCAAATGGAGCGCGTCCGGAAGATCTATTTGTTTCCAACGGACGGTAGCCCAAGCGAGCATGACTGGAAGTGCATCCTGAAGCCGTTCTGCGATGTTCAGGGTGACGGCCATAATCTGTACGCACCATTATCCTTCAATCAGAGAATATGGACAACTTGAGGTGCACGCGAAACTCTCCATGCCCTGATGATCTCGGCAAGCAGGAAAGGATTCCCATCTCGACTTTCTGGTGTCGGAAGAAATTGATTTTGTCAGAATACACCACATTAATGCGCCATGGGACACGAAATATTTGTCGGACTCATGTGCTCTGTAGTATCACAATTGATCACGACCTTATGGCCTAGCCTCCAGTGTCTGACACAGATTTAACTCCGCCCTTGCTCCCATCACACATATTATTGGCGTGCTGAATCCCCCTCTTTGAGCCGTTCCCCCCAAAAGGTTGCGGCAGCCGTGCTCGAAGGAAGATTAAGCCTCGAAATAAAAGTTCTGACATACATTTGCTGGGAAATGGAGGTAGGGGGTTGTTTTCTTCTTTTGGCCCTGCTATGTCCAGGTTTGGAATTGAATTCGAGCCATGTGGGTTTACGCTTGAGCGAAGGCCTGCTAAGCGAGGCTCCGGTGTGCGGGTATGCGAGAGGTTGCATAAGTGAACGAAGGCTTCGCCTCCTCCTTTTGAATCTGTATGCTTTAAATGACAGAGCGTCATCGAGCCGACTTTCGTTGTCGTGCTAGTGGTTGACGCGTGGTTGACGCGGCGGCCCGACATATTTCACATAGCTTCGTTCGAAAAGTGGCAGGTAATGACAATATTCCCGTTACCAAACGAGCAACGAGCAGATAGAGTGCAGCAGCGAGAAGTGCCATTGAACTGTGTCTTGTGGGTACAGTGGCGAGCAAAAATCCAAAAAATTGGCAGTTTTGCCGAGGGCATATCGTTGCAATGGCGAGTAGTTCCGCCTACAGCGTAAAAAGCGGTGTGTAAAGAACAGGTCGCCATGCAATAAGTACAGCGTCCTGTAATTCATCTATAGGCTTGATAGATAGCTCGTTACTGTATCTCCACGTAAATAGCCTTTTATAACGCGGTAGTAATGCCTTCAGGCGGTTCACACCTTCGAAAGGCCCAGGTTATCAGGACCACTGTAAGCGCCTAATTAGCCCTTAGAATGCGCCTAATCGACGTCTCGCGAGTGAATAACGTCTCTCCTTCCTTCGTTACTTAACAGCGGTACCGAGACGAGGAGGAATCGCTTAGTTTAGAGCCAGGAGGCGTGGTACGAGGCCGTCCTAGGGCAATCTATTCCGCCGCCATAACTGCTATCGACTAATTCATTTAGGATTTCCTAACGGCGTAGAGAGACGAGGTCTACGATCTCCTTAAGGAAGAGTTTGATATAGAGGTCTATCCTACGACCGTAGGTAGGATCCTAAAAAGGCTGGGCCTTATACGTAAGAGGGTAAATAAGATTAATATTCGGCGTAATGAATCGCTAGTTACAGCGTTCCTGGCTAACATGACCTAGTACTCAGTTAAACAACTCGTCTACCTTAACGAGAGTGCCGTAAACGAGAGGACTAGCGATCGTAAATATGGCTGGTTACTACGAGGAGTACCCTATCGAGTGAGGGCTTCTAATAGGCGGAGCATTCGCTGGAGTATCCTCCCAGCGCTCACGATCGATGGGTAGCTCGATTATGAGATCTTTTAGGGTTCCTTTAACGGAGAGAGATTCCTAGCCTTCGTCGAGAGGCTATTAGGATAGATGAACGCGTTTCCAGCATCTCGATCGGTATTGATATTAGATAATGCATCGATCCACTACGGCGAACGGATATAGGCTCTTTACTAGTAACATAGCGTAGTTCTCGCCTACCTACCTCCCTATTCGCCGCATCTGAACCCGGTTAAGATAGCCTTTCATGAATTAAAGGAGTGGATGAGGAAGAATCGCGAGATTGGATATGAATATGAAGAGTAATTCGAGGTCTTCCTCTACCTAGTAATGTAGGTAGTCTATCCTACGAGGATAGCGAGGAACTACTTTAGAACCTATAGCTATAGACTACCTACTAGGACTAGGTAGGAGGAACGCGAAGATCAAGAGGAACTAGTCCTATTAGTAGGAATCGAGGGTTAGGCGTAAGTATAACTATCGTAGATAGCGAGGTTAATCAGTGTATAAACTTAGTGTTACTAGGCTAGGTCGTTTCCTATAGAAACCTCGTTTACAGTAAAATTAGGTGAGTAAAAGCTTACCTAGGAAACAGCTTAGACCTCGCGCTACAGCCTACTACTTAATCGATCGCTCTAAATACACTATTTCCTACCTTTTAGCGACGTTATAATAACTTTACTTAGCGCCGTTCCGAGGCCGTTACTTTACAGGTAATCCTATAATCGCCGGCGGCACTACCTATTACGCTAGTAACGCGGTATCCTATTCGAGCAATAACAATAATAATAATAATAGAGGTCTTAAGGCTTAAGGCTAAGGTCGCTGGTAGCCACTATAGAAGGCTCTTCTAGCTGTAATTCCTCGTTTACGAAGATCTTAAGGTTCTTCTTAATCTTTACGACGAATCCACTACGGATTTCTATGCGTTCCTAGCCTGAATCTACGATTATTCGAAGGTCTGAGAAACCCCAGCCCTCGCCCTATAGAATGCCCTTAATCTCGCCGAATTCGGCCGTATAGTTAGGATAGCGCCTACCGAGCTAGTTAAGGTAGATAGCTACGTTATTATCGTCATCGCTAGGCCGGAAAGGTGGGCTAGATTACTCTTCGCGCTCGGATCTCGCTATAGCGGCCGCGGTACCTTCGCTACCCTAGAAAAACTGGATGTGAACGCCGCCATTACTAGTAGCGATTTACGCGCTATTCGAGGCCGCCTTACCGGCCTTCTTATTCATGTAGTTAGCCTTATCTTTTATAAGTCTTAGGAGTAACGATCCTAGTATCTCTTTAGCTGTTGCGGTGCGATTTCGGATCGATTTAAACCATAAGCTAATCGATGGGGTGTCTAGGCGGAGGTAGCCCTCTTCTATAGGTAGGTAGGTTCTGCCGTAATTAGGACATCGATCGCTCGGGTACATCTACCTAGCGGCTAACTCGTGGACCTGGATATCGCCGGTGGCGACGTTTAGTAGTTCCTCCGCCGCGATCGACTGGCGCTGACGCTGAGTAGCGCTTAGTCTCGTTCGCTCCTCATCACGCCGACGCCTAGCCTATGTTGAGTCCTATAGCCGTAGTAGCGTAACTAGCCTAGCCTCGAACTTAATAGTTAGAGTAATCTAGATAGTGTACTTCTATCGCCGCGGTTCCTATAAGGTCTTCTACTATTACCTCGCGAACTTCTCGAAATCTCTGTCGTCTTTATAGGTGAATTGGAATAGCCTCTTATTCGAAATAATAAGGACTAGTTCACTACTAAGGATAGGAGGTATTAGATGAAATTAGTCAGGTGGAAACTTCGCTTCTAGGCGTCGTTAGTAGGCGTAAGTAAGAAGGTCGATATTAAATAGCTCTGTTCTATCGTCCTCTACAGAGAGTTCTAAGGACCTTCCTACTATCATAGAGGTGGCGATTTTAAATGTAACTTTACTCATTTCGAAGGGTTCCATCGCTGGAGAGTCTATTTGTCTTATTCCTGAGGTCCTTTTATGGCGTTTATGTTGTTCTATAGCCTCTAGTTAATGAGAGGGCGGAGGAATAGATCTATCTATACTACCACTCCGAGGCCGCTTCGCCTAGCCACCAGCGCCGATTATCGAGTCATTCTAGCTATCTAGATCGTCCGATAGGTCTAAACTATCGTCTTCATCAGGGATTTGAGACGTGAATAGCCATTACGAGTTCTGCGAAGTGTAGAATCGCTGTATAGCGCTTTCATTGAGCGCCGCGCGAGCGATCGATCTCGCCTCGTCAGGTGTAAGTCTACCGAATGTAGGCACAGATTCGCGCGCCGCCGCGGCCCTCGCAGCGCTAGGAACAGGCGATCGCGCCCAGGTTGAGTTGCGCGAGTTGTTGAACGTCAGCCTGATGCGCTGACTAGGTCTCTCAGGGTTTTCTGTCGTACTAGGACTAACGGAAATGACAGTTATAGACCTAGATAGCACTGGAGTGGCCTCTGCCAGCTCCCGAGAAGTCGGAGACAGTGGCCTTAAGGGCGTTGGCGTTGCTATAGGCCGATTTACTCTCGTTGGCGCGGCTGAGGCGCGTGCTTCCAGGAGGCGGCGAGAAGGTGTCGGTTCACGGCGAGGTCGCGCAGACATACTAACATACTCTTGTGTACTACAGGATAGCTATTTACTATGTAAATTATGCTGTTCTAAAGTGCGCAGACCTACACCGCCATATGCGCATATGGCGGTGTAACTCTTGTTGTGCCCTCGGCAAAACTGCCAATTTTTTGGATTTTTGCTCGCCACTGTAAACTTAGTGACTTGCTTGAGTGGCCCTACAATCTCCGCAGGGAACGAAACTGCGCCAATCGTGGGAGTCTTGGCAACTTCGCCTTTCCAACACCTGGACGTCCAGGGCGCCTTGGATCTGATCCCTTTCATCAACATGAACCTCCCATACAAACGGTCACACAGCTCGTCGCGAACATCCGCGTCAAGCTATGCATGGGATCATTAGAGAGACTACTTTCTCAGCGTCATGAGAATGGTATCCATGATTAAGAAATGTTTGCTCTTTGGCGCTTCATGAGGTGCATCTAAGCATCCCTCGAGAACCCGAACTCTTGAGACGGAGCCGTCAGCCTGGATCAAGCAGATGGAATTATGCTATCGCGAGGTGTAGGTCTTGGTGATTTTGAAGACTAACTACTCCCAAAATCGTTCGTCTTGATACCTCGTCTCGAACGAGAACAACAAGATTGAACACGAGCGTCGATTATTTTGACGATTGATCCCTAACCTCATTACGCATTGGCCGTCGATATGACGAGGGACTGAGCAGAACACCTCAGAATCTCTTTCTTGACACTTGTCCTTCCGAGGCTGTTCTTATACTACCGAAATGAGACCGAAAGCGATTACATGCAAAAGAATACGAGGCGTGGCAATATACGCAGACAGGGGTTGTGACCAAGCTTCTCTTGGTTATCCGATGAGGACAAGGAGCGTCCGGTAATCATTTTAACAGCAAGCCTAGGTAATATGAACGCCGAATACGGGTTATCCGGCTGGTTAAAGGTATAATGAAATATTACAGAATCCAAGCGCGGACTACTCAGAGCGGCTCACGAGCGGTTCCGCTCTTTTTCCCCAGTCCATCTCTCTGTTCGATCGAATCGAATACTCTGGGCTTAGAAGTCAATCACAGCTTATCCTACCATTTTCATTTCGAAGACGATGTCCCACTCCTAGAAACAACGACACTGTGGCAAGGTATCGGCGGGAGTTATCATGGTGTTGTTGCACATCAAGCTGGAAGACCGACCATAAATCATCCTCCCGACGAAGCGAGCGAGACCTCGAGGACAATCTGCGGTTGTTTCCCACTGAATACGAGGCAGGAGCTTACGCCTGTTTCTCAAAGGCGCCGGCAAAACAGAGTCATGGTTGACTGACTCACTGAACTCTTCCCTCCAGGTTATATCTTACACCTGCGTTCCAGGCCCAGCCCTCGCCTAGTCTGCGGCTAGTCTCGCTGGTGTGACGGCGCTTCCTTGACGATCATACGATATCTCTACTGGGTAGTTGGCCTAGGTTCCAAGAGACTATCGATCGAATCTGCCGTCGTTGACTGGACGTTCGCGCAGAATTGCCGACGCCTCGAACGTCTTGGAATTCCCTTCTAGGAACTAGCCCACGCATCCCCCGCAAACTCAAAAGCTTCCCCGAAGTCTCTCCACGTTTTGCGAACCGACAGTTCACAGGTTGCCACGTTATGTTGCCCTGAATCTCGCACGTCCTAAGGGGCGGCTTCAGAGTACAGCGAAAGAGGTGGTCTTAGGCCATCCACTATCTAAATCCAACGCGCCAATACACTGTCACTAAGGCCAATTTCTTTCCTTGGCTTTAGCATTCTGAGATGCATTGGCTGGTCAGTGTTCAAGAACAACCACCATGCAGTCTCTCGAGAAGTCGACTTGGCGAAATCCACCCCGATCAAATCTAAGGGTGGGCATTCTCCTTCCAAGCCGTGGAGAAGGTTTGTCTACTCAACACTGGGGATCTTCTATCTCACCAAATACATGGGTCCCTGGTCCACTTATACCCTGGTCAAGATCTGGATAATCTGGGCGAGGGGAACGAAGTCTGCAAGAGGACAGCCGCGGCACTTCCTCTGGAGGAGAGTAGACGGCAATCTGTAAGATTGAAACAAAATCGACTCGAATGGACTGACAATTCCCCAAAAGTACTAAAGGGAGGGCTGGTTCCTGGCCGTTCTCCCTTGGTTCCTCTCCCCAAACAGTTCGCTTCATTCTAGTCAACCTCTCACTTTGGCTGGACACCTGCATACTCGAAAATCGTACCGCGCCCATCATGGCTTTTGGCACCGAACGTCACTGGAGCGCATGGAATTTCTTCATCTGCTGGATGGTCTCCCTGGGCCAGATTGCTTTTGGGTACCCTGCTTCAATCATTGGGGTCACTCTTGCACAACCGTCCTTTTTGATTTACATGGGCCTCCTTGATGTCACACAAGACCCCCCAGCCATGACTCCAGGTAATGAGAACGTGCTAGCAGAGCATCTTGGCCAGCTAACAATCAAACAGGAGCGGATCAGAAAATCGGCGCAATGTCAGGAGTAGGTTGACCCTTCCAATATGTGTCAGATCTTTCCCATAGATGAGACCTCAACACCCCCTGAGCCTCTGCCATGTCCACGAAAGCATTGCATAATTACTTGCGCAGAGTATGATCAGTTATAAAGAAGCCTGTGGCTCCTTGGAAGCCTGCTGGCGAAGTGGAAGCAGCTCGATCTCAGAAATTTGCTCCACTCTTTATTTACTACCGCATGCCTTGGTGATTTATTTGCCGCTTGCACGATCCGGCTGACTCTTTCCAGGTCTTCCAAGCTGGCGCCGCCATCAACGTTTTTATCGCCGGTTATGTCTCAGACAAGTACGTTAAGAGCCACCTTAATCCCCGGTGTACGCCTAGATTGCTGACAACAACGAGCAGATGGGGACGTAAAGCAGGATTTCACTGGTGTGGGTTCCTGTCGCTGCTCGGAGGGGCGCTGCTTTGCGGTAGCAGAAATGCCACCATGTTTATTGTCGCTCGCCTCTTTGCAGGGGCTGGGAGCTGGGGCTACCTAGCAGTCAGTATGTATTTGCGTTCATTCTATCCTCGTCTTCTCTGCTGACCAGACCAAGCGCCGTATTACTCTGCAGAATTAGCACCGCCAGGCCTGCGTGGCCTCATGGTGGGCATGAACGGTGTTAACATTGCACTGGGCTATGCTCTTGCCAGCTACATGGGTCTCGCCTTTTACTATGTCGATGACCCGCAGACACAATGGCGAGCTCCTTTGGGCATAGCACTTGTTTGGCCAGTGATGATGGTTCTGGTCTGTTTCGTCATTCCGGAATCCCCGCGTTATCTTCTCATGAAGGGGAAGATTGACGAAGCGAGGGACGTTGTCTTCAAGTTGCATGCGTCGAAGAATGATCCTGATCAAGAATTTGCTCGTGGGGAATTCTACCAGATGTCAAAGCAAGCGGAGTTGGATCGGACGATGGAACCGGGCTGGGTACCGTGCCACATACTTTCGTTCGGCAGAAGGGCGCTGACCTTGACAGATGGAAATAATACGTCGACCCAGCTACCGCAAGCGCACGATCATGGCCATGGGCTTCGCATTCATTGGTCAGTCGACTGGGGTCTTGGTTTTGAATAACTATGGTAAGCTTGTGTTCGGGATGTGCCTTGAGCCAAGGGCTAAGAAAGCAATAGGTCCAACCATTTACGCCGCCCTGGGTTATGATACCTTGTACCAACTAATCTTCCAGTGTGGCTGGATCACTGTTGGCATTATTGGCAACTTGATAGGGGCTCTCATCATGGACTGGACAGGCCGCAAACCGCTACTTGTCATGGGAGTTGCTGGCTGCTGCGTGTCCCTCATTCTCGAAGCTGCAATGGTTAGCTCTTTTGCAGAAGAAGCAACCAACAAAGCCGGTCTTCGAATGGGTGTTGCGGCTGCATACCTGTTCTTGCTCGTATACAGCATCGGCATCGACGTGGCTGGCGTAGTCTTTTATTCCGAACTCTTTCCCAACCATCTGAGAGCAAAGGGGTTGTCTCTTAGTATTTGCGTCATCGCACTCACCGACTTGGTCTATCTACAAGTTGCAGCGACGGTAAGTATTCATTTCGTGCTTGGGTTTTGATCCTCACTGACTTGGCCCTTGTAGGCTTTTACCAACATCGGCTGGAAGTTTTATCTGGTCTTCATCATCATTTCAGGCCTGGGCACGTTCTTCACGTACTTCTATCTTCCAGAGACGAAGAATATTCCGCTTGAAGAAATGGCGAAACTGTTTGGAGACGAAGTTGCCGTCTACGCCGAGGACCTTCACGTCGACCATCGCACCCACGAACTCATTGTCGATGAACACGGTCACCACGATATACACAAAGTCGCCACTGAGGCTGGTGTGCCACGAAGTTCCACAGGGGGAGACGTGGAAAAGCAAGGTGCTGTTCCCAGGACTTCTGTTGAGCATGTCGAAGCCCAGCAAAATACAAAGGAATAGGTTCACCGCTTGTGTGGTAGATCATTCTGAGAGGGTTCCAGCCTAGCGAGCGGGTAGCTGCCGTGATCAAGACGGGTGCGTAGGGCACGATTAGTATTGAACAGGTTGAATGATAATGTACTCGGTAGATGTGGCTTGGGGTCTCTTCGATGCTGAGCCAATAGCCTGTCTCCTTCCCACCTGCAACTACGAGTGCGATGCATTTGGGGTCCAAAATTCTCTCACGTGATCGACTTCCTAGACTGCGCATGTGCCTTGCTTGACCTTCCGCCCTCCACTGTAATTTTTTTGTGGTTGGCAACGGTTCAAGACTCCCCTCATCACGAATATTCAGCCACAAACCTGCCAGAATGTCGTGGTTTACATCATGGTTCACATCGTCAAAGAACCCAGTGCCTTCAGCAGCTGGCCAGCCTGCAGCTCCCGGGAAGCGCGTCCTCGAAGAACCTGTGAAGCCGGCCGAACCCGCCATTGAAGCAGCCAAACCCGTGACGCCGCAGCAGACACAAACCGAACGTTTGAACAGAAACAAACTCATTTTTGGTGCTGGCGCCGTATTTTTCGCCTTCTCCCTCCTCGTCACTCGAAGAAGCCTTGCGCGAAAACGGCTGGCCTCCAATCCGGCTTTCTACGCCAATGCCCCGGCACACCAGGCGGAACAAGCGAAAAAGGTCAACGGTGCCATGGAAGCAGTCGAAGCATTGAACATCGCGACGATCAATGTCCTCAGTCTGTCGATGATGGTCACTGGAGGGGCTATGTGGTATTTCGACATCAACAGTCTGGCAGAGGCGCGCAGGAAGATAAGAGGTGGGCTGGGCGTTGACGGGACGGGCAAGTCGGAGAAGGAAGCTGAGGAGGAGTTTGAAGAGTGGATGGCGACCGTGCTGGCGCGCAAGGAAGCGAAAGGACCACGACCTTCGCAGACGAATGAACGAGGCCAGGAGAGGTGATCAGACATAGACGGAAAAAGCATTACCACAAGATCATATTGGACAAGACTTGTGAGAGCTCGACCAAATCTGCGGGCAACAACGAAGCGCTGCCTCACATCCTCACCCGCAACACTGCGACAGGATGTTTCCTGGCGCTAGGAAACGAGAAAAGACACAGGCCGAATCACAACGATCCCGAAGATCCATACAGTGCCAAATTTGCCCTACCCAGAAGCTACCCAAGCAGAGGTGTCCATGGCCACGAGAAACAATCTTTGCGGCAGCGACATTTCCCAGCGAGCGGGCACAGCGCCCGACGAATGTATAATCACCCAGCTTCGATTCAACCCGTGTATTCTCAAATCTCCAAAAAGTATTCAGCAACCTCCCTCATATGACCTTCTTTTATGCCTCATAGCTCGAGGAAATGTAGATATTGTATATATGTACGAGGCATGTATATAGACACCCAGCCCAGAAAACTGCTTGTCAGCAGAAGATGTGGATCACACATCCACTCCAGCACAGAGTGAGCCCATTGATTCCAGTGGACTTTGGCCAGCTTGTCCGAAGAAGCCTTCGGTGTCTTTTGGATAGGTTGCGCGGGCAATGGGAATTTTGGTCGCCGGGTAGTTGTTCGGATATGAAATAATAAACCCATCAGAAGTTTCGATCTTGGGCATAGATGGGCATGTTTTCTTTGTGGTGGGGATTTTTGTGGGGATCAAGATGCATCTCGTTCTTCGGTGATACCTACCGAGCTACCTAGGTACGAGGTACTCGTATCTACAAGTGGTGATAGCGAGCACCGAGAGGCGAGCGGATTCGATGTCCGTTTGGATGATGGATGGCCAGGGCCCCCGAACCTGTACCGAGTAGGCGTCATCGATGCAGGTGACGGACAGATCACAGATCTGCCATATGCCATCGAGAAGTCTATTTCTCCTGGAACAACGGAAAACCCTGACATGACACCATGCCTGCAACGTTCATTCATATCTTGGTTTCTCGTTAAAAGTCCAGAAAATTCGTCAGAGCCAATTGTTACCCCTGGTACGTATCTCTAATGCCACCGCCCCTCGAGACAGGAACAGATGCCTCCCCTCCCCCCTCGCGATCACGAAGATGACGAGGAACGACAACCACTCCTTGGTCCCCATGACGGGGACGTCGACAGCGCCAGCAGCAGCAGCAGCCAACACAGCCAGGAGACGCACCGGATCCAGTTCGGCGTGGACGACGGAGAGAACCCCAAAGCCTGGAACGGGAGGAAGAAGCTCCTCAACGTAGGCATCATCTCGCTGATGGCCGTGCTGAGCCCGCTGGCCTCGTCCATGTTCACCCCGGGCATCAGCCAGATCGCCAAAGATCTGGATACGAGCGAGCAGAGCGTCATCGCCACGACGACGGGGTTCGTCATCACCCTCGGCCTGGGCCCTCTGGTCTGGGCGCCCCTGTCCGAGGACTTTGGCCGCAGGGCCCTGTATATCTTCTGTTTCGCCATCTTTACCCTCCTCCAGGCGGCGTCGGCGTTGAGCCCAAACATACACACGCTCATTGCCATGCGCACCGTGTCGGGCTTCTTCGGCAGTGAGTAACCATCGCGAGCAGCACTAGCAGCGTTGAAGGCTGTGGGAAATGCGAGAACAGAAGTGTACTCGGTACTGATGAGGGTGTTGCAGGTGTCGGGATAGCCAACGGAGGCGGGACGATATCGGACATGTATGATCCGTCTGAACGAGCGGGCATCTTTGGCTGGTACCTGCTCGGACCCCTTCTAGGTGACTATACAAGCATCACTCTCTGATGTCAGTGGAGGTCGCTGACAGCAACCCCTAGGCCCGACACTTGGGCCTCTGTTTGGAGGCGTCATTGTCAGTCGCTTGGGATGGAGATGGATATATTGGGTAAGATTGGAGAATGAACAAGAAGTCGAACAGCACAGGGGCTAATAGGTGGTCTCGTTACAGATTCTCACCATCGTCTGTGCCATCAATACCGCAATTGGTTACTTCTTCCTCAAAGAAACGTACGCACCGGTCCTCCTAGGTCGTCGCAAAGCCGATCTGGCCCAACAAGATTCTCAAGGTCTGGGGAAGAAGACGAAGTACTACTTCGATGGCGAGGACGAGCGACCACTCTCCCAGAAGCTCCAGGAGAGCATGAAACGGCCATTCGTTATTTTCGTCCAGCCGATGGTGCTGATCATGAGCATGTACCAAGCCCTGATCTTTGGCACCACGTATAGCATCTACACCAACATGCAGAGCATCTACTCGCAACAACCCTACAGTTTCAGCTCAGAGCAAATTGGCCTCTTGTATCTAGGACCAGGACTGGGATTCCTGACCTCGGTCCGGTTCCTCGTTCCTCGCATCGACACCGTCTTCAACAGACTGACAGAGAAGCATGGTGGGAAGCCGCTCCCTGAGTACCGCTTGCCACTCGCAAATATCGGCAGCGTTCTGATCCCTGTGAGTCTCTTCTGGTTCGCATGGACTGTCCAATTCCGTGCTCACTGGCTTGCGAGCATTGCGGCGACATATTTCTACGGGGTGGGTCAAGTGGTGGTCTTCAATGCCGTTCAGAATTATTACATCGATTCCTTCTCGACGTACGCCGCCTCAGCCATTGCAGGAGGGTCTGTATTCCGGAGTCTGGTAGGCGGTATAGTCCCCCTGTTTGCGCCGCTTCTGTTTGAAAAGCTAGGCTATGGATGGGGGATCAGCTGCTTCGGATTCCTTGCGGTGATGATAGCGCCGAGTCCGTTATTGTTTTATTATTTCGGTGGGCGGGTAAGGGAAAAGTTTCAGATCACATTTTGACCGATGCCTGGGACACAGCGATCTTGGATCGAATTCGAGATGAAGTCATCATGCATGGTGCATGGAGGAACGTCGACCACGAGGGAACCGCTCGGAGGTTTTAGGCGACGAGTGGTTGGGTGAGCCTGGCGGGAGGAGCTCAAACTTTCCGCTGGGCGGCTTCTAGGGGGCGCACTAGGCGGTGACTGAGATGTGATTAGGCAGGGAAGCAGGGATTAGGCTGCCTGCAAGAGCCGTTGGCCCCCGGTGCTGGGTCGTGTTAGCGATCGGTTAGCTTCAAGCCCGCGTTGTTGTTCCCCCGTCAACCCTCAAACGGGCCGCATTGTTTATCACTCGCTTCAAAGTCTTGTAATCGCGCATCACATCTTCGCGTAGCCAACTTGTTCTCGTCACCCGGGAAATCTCCATCAGACGAACACACCGCCTGACCCAACGTCCAACGTGGTCCTCTCGCATGCGTCCGTGACCAACACCGTCGTTCATTGCTGATGATGGCTAAGCGAAGGATGCTGTCTTGGATGCCTGGTGGAAGGTAGGCCTCGGACTTGGGGAGAGGCGCGTTGATTTCTGCAGGAAAATCTGCCTATCACCGCCTTGGACACTCGAGCTGCAACCCTGATTTGCCCAGTTAGCAAAATTCGAGTGCAGGCCCCAACATCATACCGCTGCTGACCTTCAGTTCCATTGGATATCGGTCGACTTTGTTGTTTTGAAAATCCCCCTCTGGGGCTTCGGACAGTGCGAGGTGTTGAACGTGCATGCGAGTAGAAATCCATATTTATCTCGTGCGCGTGCTCATGCTTGTGCTCCGTGTCTCGTAGTGTGCAGTAGGCGCCTCTTTGATGGGGAGTGGAAAAAATGGTGGGCAAGCAGGTTACATGGTCCCAGAGTGATTAAAAAGTTGCTCGCTGCATCTCTGGGATTCCTGTTCCTGCGCCCTGCCTCACCACCCTCTACCCACCTTCTGGTAGTCCTGCGCTGTTTCACAGATCTCATCCCCTCCATTGAAAAAAAAAGAAGCCCTCCTCTCAGACAAAGGAGAGAAATTCCCCGATTGATTGCCACATCAATCTCTTTCTTCCCCTCCCGTCCACCACCGATTAATTGGACCACCTCCCCTTTGGCTTATACTCCAGGATCCTGGGTGCCCGCCGGAAAGTTGACCCCGACACCCTCGAGGGCCTTCCCTCCCGTCTTAGCGCCATCACACCTCGACCAGTCCACCTTGTGCAAACTTCCCTGGCCCTGTCGAGTCTTCTCGAGGGCCCAAAGTCAAATCACATCCAGTGCCAGGGCCAGTCACTGCTCTGTTTCCGTACTGCTGCCTCCTATCGTACTTTTCTTCCAGACTCTTTCTCACACCTACCATTCTACTCCAACACGTCAAATCTCTGATTCGTTTTTAACCACCCTCAACTGTCACTCCTCCCGAGTCTTGACAGTAACGATACCGTCAATAACGAGCCTGTTTTCTCACGCATCGGCGCCTCTTCGGTCTCTCACCACACCTCGATCCCGTTCCCCCGTCACTGGAACTGCAGCCCGCGCAGTCCAGCTGTTAATATGAAAAAGAAGGCCCTAGCACAGTTACCACGGACGACGCAATTGTGCTTGGAAAGGTAGACAAAAATTCGAATCATCAGAGGGCTCTGCTCTCATGGAGCCCCCTCCGCCGCCGCCACCGCCGCATGGCACAAATCCACAAAGCGGTGGCAGGTCTGGAGGTCTCCCTGATGGAAAATACGACATTTTTGTCATCCCTCCACATTCCTCGGGCTCGGGCTTCCTCTACCTCCCTTCGCTGCAGACACACCGCAACTCCTTTTTGGCTGGAGCCTTGTGTACCGCAGCCTCCTTCTTCATCTACTACACCGCCGTACCCGTTGTCAAAGAATGGCTAGTGAGCACCATCAACAGTGGCGGGACTGGCGTTTTCACGCTCATCTGTGGTGTCGCGATTGTAGCGTGGGCATTTGGCAAGACCCAAAGTGAATGGCAAAATTACACTGGATTTAATCGTGGAGGGTCTAATACGAGTTCAGGTGGTCCAAGTGGTCCAGGCCATAATGGTTACGGCAACACTGGATCTTACACGCAACCAGGGCCTCAACCGAGTGCTCAATCCGCTCCCCCTCCTCCCCCTCAGCCTCATCCTCCCCCTCCGCCTAATCATGGCACGAGCAGCCCTCCTCCACAATCATCATGGCAGAGGCCACCCCCCCAAGCCAATACCAAAGCCAATACCACCAGCGCTAAGTCAAGCTGGGAGAAAGCGCGAGAAGAGACAAGGAAAAGAGAAGAGGAGCGCAAACGGGCCGAGGAACTGAAAAAGCGCAGGGAGGAATTGGAGAAGGAAAGGCAGAAACAGAAAGACGAGCTGGAGAAGGAACGACAGAGGCAGGAACAACTAGAAAAGGACCGTCAGAGGGAGAAAGAAGAGCTCGAGAAGGAGCTCCAGAGACAGAAAGATCAGCTAGAAAGGGAGCGACTGAAGCTGAGAGAAAAGGAACTGCTTGAGAGACTTGAACGCGAACGCAGGGAGAAGAAAGAGCGTGAGGAGAAGGAGGCGGTCGCAAAAGCTGCCGCTGCCGCTGAAGCTGCTGCTGCTGAAAAGGCGAAAAGGGAGCAGTCTGCTCGAAGTCCTCCCAAGCGTCCACCCATGCCGACCGCGACCACGGAACGAGACGATGACGCATACTCATTCAGACCATATGACCGACCCAAACGAACGCACAAGGCCAATTCTGCAGCTTCGATGTACTCCGAGTCATCTTACGCCCCGTCAGAGAGCACCGCCAAAACCACGCCACCTCCCTCGATGCGCGGACCGTATTCGACCAAAGACCCTGATAAGATCATCATCAAGGGTGTCTTCTCCTTCAACAATGCATTTATGCGAACCCCAATTTCCCAACTGATATCTGGACAAGGTAATGTCACCGACGGATTGATCTTGCGTATCACAACCGAAGGCCTATTCATCGACGACGACGTACGAGGAGTGCCGCAACGTGAGTGGGATGTCAAGGCTTGGACGATGAAGCTGGCAGAGGTATGGTGTCCCCATTTTCTTTCCCCTAAAGGCATGGTCACGGGTTCCCCTAAACGGAAATTTCCCCTTGGTTTCGGTTTCAGCGTCGACTTGAGGAGGGACTCTCCGTCGCCTTCGCAGAATGAATCTGTCGTTTTTCTCAGTAAGATATTGGACGTTTGCGAAAGCGGGTGCAAGAAAGGAACCCGATCTCGATGTCCAAGTGGTGTCCCACTTTCCTCTTCGTCGACTCCTGTTACCGCGACCACCAGGTCAACCACCTCAACCTTTACTGACTCTTCACTCACACAGAGCTGCGAACTCTCCGGTCTCCACGTCCTTCGCGCGAGTATACGCGATCAAGAAGGCAAGAAATACGTCTTCATCTTGTCCCAATCCGAGGGCTGGAAAGTTGCTGTTGGTCTTCAGCGATTGAGGAGGGGAACGCAAGTGCGTGCCCTGGGCGTCGCTGGACTGCCGATGAACGAAGCGAAGGCGATTCTAGAGAACCTTGGGTTTATCTAGAGCCTGGACGATTGGTAAACCAAAGTTGATAGATTGCCAGTCTTCGCTGGCAGAGGAAGACGGGAATGTCGACTGTGAAAGAGAGACATCGATTGATTTGACGAGCGTGCATGTTGTGATTTCGTCCAAAAGCTCTCTGCACAGTGTTGGATATGCTTCGGTCAGTGAAACTTGAGAGTTATCAGCGAAGATCGATTGAGCGAGATTAGCGAGTCGAGTTCCAAATGCATCAGCGAGGGAGTTCAGATCGGATCTTGGAACTGTACATTCATTCAAATGCAGATATCCCCCACTAGTATCGTTGTTGGATAATGAAAGCTCAGCCTTGAGGTTTGGTTGCTCGATCGATGTAGTACATGAGTTAATATCCCTTATCCTTCGGGAAGGATAAATCCACCTTGGGGCTCGTCGTGAATACACCGTCGCTTGCATCTGGTCATTTTGGACTTTTGTGTTGGGTTTCAGCTCCTTTGAACTCGATGCTTAAAGAGTAGGTATAACCCTCCATCACAGTCCAGCGAATTAGCGAAGTTAACTGTCAGTACGAATACGATATCGGTGGCATATGACGTTAGTGGGGAGCTCCAGGCATCGGCTGGGGGCCTTAACCTGCCCTGTGGGAACGGGAGCCACCCAAACAGCACCAAGAACACCACAAGCTTAGGCCCTTGGGACCTATCAATGCCCATCTCCTCCCCCGCCGCCCAACGACTTGCAGGAAGTCGGTAACCATTTTGGGGAGCATGCGGTACCTGATGGACAAGAGGGGGCGCGGCAGCTGGGCGCCGTTCCAGGTTTCTTTGGTGTCTGCCTGCGGCGACAACCGAAACACACCTTACAATCACCCCATGGCAAGTCCACGGAGGGGTGGATGATGGTACAAGGTAATTCTGATATCAGACTAACGGCCTTCTGACTGTTTTCTCTTATTCCTTCACGCTCAAAACACCCTTCTCTGAAGGTTCCATCTCCAGACTCAATGCGCTGAGTCGATTCCCCGCTTCTTGCATCAGTTATCCAGCCAGCATTCAGAGTTTCCCGCCATGACTATCCGCAAAAAGAACCCCTCTCGCAACTACGAGACATTCCAAGACGACCCTGACGACAGCATCAGGCAGTCTCCTACATCCTACCACCAAGGAGGGGACGCAGACAAGTCCCGATCCGCTGCAGCGGAGGCTCAACGACTTGGGTCTCAAGGCTCATGGGCTGACAACTTCACAGGCGGTACTCCCGCCACCAACAGAACCCCAGAAGCTTCAACAGTAGATGGTGATGAAGTGAGGGATACCAGGTATTCGCACCTTTCGTCGGACGAGGATCCCTCGGATCCACCTCCAATCTACACTCCTTCTGCCAGCACTCAAGTTGGGTCTCAATCGCCTGCAGCACCTGCGTCCCCTGTTGCTGCAAGATCGACCCCCTCTTCAGTTCCTGAGCCAGTAAGCGCTCCTGCTACAGCGTCCTCTTCTTCCAATCCGCAATCATGCCCATGCCCATCTCAAAGCAATGATGAAGAGGAGGGTTCATTGGCATCGGAATCCGACTCGCATAATCGTCATCACAGCCACGATTGTCGCGAGCAAGAAGAAGATACAGACTTCGAGGGCCTGCCTGTTTTCCTACAACATCACCCACAACGGGCCCGGCTATGGTTCCGGGGCCATGGTAAAGGACGAGGCTGCCGCGGGCGCCGGCAGGCTATGCGGCAATGTGATCGCCACAAACATCGAGCCCGCCGATGCAAAAGGCTATGCTTTATCTTCCTTGCACTTATTGCCTGCCTATGGCTTATGATTCCGGGCTTATGTCGGTCGCTCAAGAATGTACTTGGACCTTTTCTTTCCAATCAGTTCCCCTTTGGCGACTAATGTCTGGATTTTTGGACTGCTGCTAATACGTTTCTTCATTGCACAGGACGGACGGTATCAGCTTCCGAGCTTTGGCTCACAACCCTCGCAGACACCATGGCCACCGCCGAAGCGTGAACATCGTGAACGCGAGACCTTCCGCTCGATCACCGGCACCTACCAGCTCTATGATCTGCTCGATCTTTCCACCACAGCAGGTAGCATTACGGTTACCGTCGAAGTTCAGCCTGGAGATAAACCAGCAGTGCTTCGTCTTTCCACGACAGCAGGCAGTGTCAATGTGAAAATGACTTCTGGAGGTGGTTTCTTCAAGAAACCCTACGTCTCGGACGTCGCGAAATCGAGGACACTGGTGACGGAGATTTCTACCACCGCTGGCAGTGTCAACGGCAACTTGGTGCATGGCAACGGAGGATCTACTTCCGTTTCCACTAATGCGGGTTCTATCTCGGTCACCATATTTACAGTCGGTGTCTCTGAGATGGATCCGCAATCGAACATCACTACTACCTCTAACCATGGTAGCCAGCACATCAAGATTGTCCCGGACTTGGGCTCGACCGAAGCGATTCGTGCCATCGAAGCGAGCCACACGGTTCGTGGTAGTGGGAGTGCAGTCGTCTCGTACCCGCCTCAGTGGGAGGGTATGGTTCATCTTGCGGCCCACGGACACGGGAGCATCGGCGCCAGCGGATCTGGGCTGGAGGTCCGAAGAGAGAGCAGCCGTGAATTGTATGGGTACAGAGGGGCTACCCAGGGGAGAAAGGTCGAGGTTGCAGTCATCGGCAATGGAAGCGCGAGGTTCTCGTGCTGAAATAACCAGGATTACGAAATTACCAAGTCCTTCTGACTGGGTGATGCTGTGCATGTGGACTGAAAATGGGGGACGCTCAAGATAGACGTCCCCCTGAGAAGCCGTATGTTGCTGCTTGAGAGAAAGATCTCTGCGAGTGGCCATACATCTGGCATCTCAAAACTGGGATGTGATGTCTCCATTATGTTTTAATATGGGAAGGATATGAATGGAACAACGGGAAGTCTCTGAAGGAAGTTCGAAGGATATATACAACGGGAAACGAAATTAGGTCCGAGGGCGTTTTGCATGGTGTATACGAGGTACCTACCTACCTATCTACCCAGGTACCATGATCTCAACGATATATTACAATTATTCTTTTCTCAGCATGAAAGAAATCAAACTATCCGCCCGCTGGAATGTGTCGTAGTCGTTCGTCAATGATACTCTTACTTCTCCGTGCCCTCAAAAGTCCATACTGCGCCATCCAAAGCATAATCTTCTTGGTGGCTCTCCGTTCGTCTTCCTCTTCCCCTTCCTCTTTCTGCCATGCCCATTTCTTCATCGCTTTGTCGAACAGCACATACGTCTCTGCCATTCCATCCATCAATCCATCCACGGAAATGGATGAACCAGATCAAATAGCATCCAAGAACCCCTTAGCCCTCATCTCCCGCTCGGTCCAGTCCCACAGCCTCCGCGCCAGCGCCCCCTCAGGGTCCTGCGCCTGTTTGCTCGGCGTCTTCTGCTCGCCCACAGGCACAAAGTAGTGTCCCGACATGGCGCGGGTGACTTGGACGCCGGCGCTGCCCGCGACGGCCCACAGCGAGTTGTAGCTGCCTTGCTCGGGAGTGATGTAGGCGCCCATGCAGCGCAGGATGGGCGTCAGGGCCGAGCCGCCCCACGCGCGCGAGTTGAGTTGCGTGTCGATGTTGCCGGGGTGAAGGGAGAGGGACCAGATGCGTGCTGGCGGTGAGGTGGCTGCGTTGTCACCGGTGTTGTTGTTGTTGTTGTTGTTGTTGTTGTTGTTGTTATATCGAGCATGCAAGGCGTTGGCGTGGAGGATATTGGCCAGCTTGCTCTGGGCGTAGCGCCGGAATGTGAAGGCGTCTTTGAGCCCCGTGTCGGCGAAGCGGATCCCTTCCTTGAACGTCGCGGCGTGGCCCATCGAACTGACGTTGACGACGCGGACGGAACCCTCCGGTGACGCTCGAGCCGTGGACTCCAGCAGCGGCAGCAGGTGCCACGTCAGGAGCCAGTGCGCAAGGTAGTTGGTCTGCCACTGCGACTCGTAGCCGTCCTCGCTGAGCAGGTACGGCGTGGCCATGATGCCCGCCGAGTTGACTACGCCGTGCAGCCGCGTGCATTCGGCGCGGATGCGTCTCGCCCCGGCGACCACCGACCGCAGCGACATCAGGTCCATCACCACCAGGTGGATCCGCCCCGCGACATCGCCTGCCTCCACCTCGGGGTGCGTCTTGTTGATGGCTGCTGCTATCGACGAGATCGCAGCCGCTCCTCTCTCGGCCGATCGCGACGTCAGGTACACGGTCGCCCCGCGCAGAGCCAAGTGGTGCACCGTCCAGCTCCCTATCCCGGCGTTCCCTCCCGTGACCACATACGTGCGTCCTTCCAGCGACGGGAGAGAGTCTGGCGTCCAGTTGAGCTTCGGGGACATAGCTGGAGATCCGAGATTGGTTTAGATGTGAGGAGTTGATATATGATGAGCGTCTGTCAATGCCGCTTTTTTTTTTCTAGATGGTGCTTTGTGTTATTGTTGTAGTTGTTTGCGCCAGGAGTGAATTGCGGTCCATCCTTCTGGACGTCCCGAAGCCCGGTTGTATTTATACGTCGTTTCCATTCCGGTCTGCATGGGCTCATTCCGCCCTCAAGCAGATTTGCGCACATTTCCCAGTAAATTCTTCGCGAAAGGAGTGTCCTCGGTGACGTATGTGGGTGAAATTGAATGAACAAGAAGCATCTCTTAGGAGTCCAGCCTCGCTGCTGACATTGCTCTCCATATGTAGGGAATGTTGGAAACACGTTGATCCGATCCGTTCGTCATTCTAATTGGCTTTTAGGGAGAATCCGAGGTCCCACCTGTCAGCGACCTGCATGAGGTGGATCTGAACCGTCCAATCACATATTCCACGCACTTCGTCGAATGCTGACACACCACATTTGACAATCTGTGTGCTTTTTGCTGGCTGCCTGGCATCAACCTAGACCTGAGCAACCACCGCTGTCCCTTGCAGTCTGGGGCATTGGTCTTCATGTCAGCGAGCTGCAGATAAAAACGGGGGCTCCGTCCCGGCTGCAACGCATTAGCATCGTCTTCCCAAACCTTGAAACGAGTGCAGGATATTACCCTTCAAAGATAGCAGAATCAAGAAGGGAGAGAGAGAGAGAGAGAGAGAGGCCATGCCACTTCCACAAGGTCTGCATGCCGAATTGAAACTGCACCCTGATGTGCAGTCGTTGGATGAGGAATGGTCTGGGATCACGGACCCTGTCACTCGTCGTAAACTTCAGAACCGATTGAACCAGCGGGCGGCGAGTAAGTTTGGGATCTGTCCCGTCCCCCGCGTCCGAGCGCGTGCTGGCATTCCCCGTCTCAATGTAGACCGCTGACCTGTCGAATAGGACGACGCAAGGCCGCGCTGAAGAAGTCTGCGGAGGACGCCTCGGCGAGCACTAGCTCCTCTCAAGCTCCAAGGCCCAAAGAGGTTCCACTGGCAGAGCGAGCCGATCTCAACGACCTGTTGGCCTTGAGGAACAAGAGGGTCAATCACCTTGAATGGATCACCGCCCTTCAGTCGACCGGCCCGACAGATCGGTCGCCATTTGTGTCCATCCGGAGTAAGAACTCCTGTCAGCGATGGTACGAAGTGCTGCTGGAAAACCGGCTAGCCATAGTCAAGGATATAGGGGAGAAGTTGTTGAAGGATCAGGAAAACGCATGGATGTATCCGCTTCCGTCCGACCACCTGATCTCCCTGGTCTACTACAACGTGTACCGGGCATTCATCTCAAACACCCATTTGCTGGGCCTTGACCTGAACCTGATGTACCTCGACGACTACCCCTCCCCGTTCCTACCCCTGTCACCGAGTGCCACCTCCAACATACGGCACTTGCCACCCTCACTGCAGCCGACGGAGCTGCAAAAGACCATGGCACACCATCCGATGTGGGACATCTTTCCGGATCCGCAAATCAGAGACAACATCCTCCGATACGGGGAAGATAACATTGACGACCTTCAGCTGTGTCTCGACATGGTTGGGGATGGTAACTACACGGGCTTGGGCGACCTCGACACTCAGCAAAAGAACGGATTGATTGTGTGGGCAGAACCGTGGGATTCGACCGGATGGGAAGTGACAGAGTCGTTTGCGCGCAAATGGCCCTGGCTGCTCAAAGGAGCGATCAATGTTCAGCTGTCCACGAACAGATGGCGAACGAGCCGTGGAGAGGAGCCCCTGGACTTTGAGAGGGTTCTGGAAGTTGAGTGAACGGATAGTTCAGGTCCTGCCTAGAGGTGATTGTGCCATTGATAACCCCCGACGTGGCGCCACTTCAATGCTTCTGTAACAGCCCACACATCCCCCCATCGTACGAAGTGGTCGAGGAAGCGTGCTCTGGCGGTCGTGTGAGGCAAATCACCAAGTGGCGGCCATGGCACCATTCGTACTTGTAGATAGATGGACCATGAGCATCGACAAGACGCTAATGACGACTTCCAAACTCCCATTGCTGCAACAAGAAAGCGTGGAGCTGGTGGCTGAGTCGAGAACGTTTTCGGTTCCCGCAGCCGGAATGGTCCCCTTTGGTGACCGAGTGGATGCTTCAGTTCCCATAATCCCGATCGAAAGTACGCGATGGGTGGAGATGTATTAGAAGAGCCGCGTATAGTCGTTATGATTAGTTTCTTCACGACCTCTTCCCTTGGAAAGATGAGTGGTCGTGACCTTGAGAAATTCAGTCGAGCCCTATACGAAGGAATAGTCAAAGCCTCGTGCCTCGGTACCTAAGACAAGCCGCCAAGCGTGACGGTTCCCACCGTGACATGTCATGCCTGTACTTCCCCTGGAAGATATTATTGGTCTTCATCATGTTACCTTTGAAGCATCTACAGACTTCCCTCAGCTGTCCATCATGCGACCAGAAGCCACAGCGATACCTTCAGCTGCACACCATATATTTAAAGCAACTCCCGATTTCCTGCAAATTGGCGTCCTACGGGTCTCGTACAACCCCATCAGAGTCGAGTTTAGTAAACACATCGATGAGAGGTGGAGGAAACGCTAAAACGTGTTGGAAGACTAATCAATGAAGAATCCTAATTATGGACTTCTTAAGACGTTGAAATTGCTCTAGTTATGATACAGGTAGGTCTTTTCTTCACCTGTATCTTTCCTGCTCTGCATCGCGTCTACGTACATCTGCAACACAATGTCTGCTCACCACCAAACATCCTACATCGCCGTGATCGGCGGCACTGGTGCCCAAGGCATCCCCGTCGTGCGCGGTCTGGTCAAGGACAAAAAGTACCGGTGTCGGATCATGACGCGGGACGTCAATTCTCGACGGGCCAAGGAGCTGGTTGCATTGGGGAATGTGGAGTTGATGGAAGGCTCTTTCGCCAACGAAGGGGACCTTCGCAAATTGTTCCGAGGCTGTGACGGAGCTTTTGTCAACATTGACGGGTTCAACTGCGGCGAGAAGACGGAGATCTACTGGGCAATCAGATCGTATGAGCTGGCTCTCGAAGAGGGGATCAAGTTCTATGTCTATGGGAACCTCGACTACGTCTACAAGAAGAGCCAGTACGACCCCAAATTTCGGACCGGACACTATGATGGCAAAGGCCGGGTCGGAGAATGGATCCTCACCCAGAACAAGGACAACCACCACCGCATGGGTGTCGCCGTCTTTACCACTGGACCCTATATCGAAATGAGCATCGCCAAACATACCATCTTCACGCCCAAGGTCGAGGACGGTGTTGTGACGTGGCGATGCCCCATTGGAGACGGGGCTGTGGTTCACGTCGCGCTGGACGACTGCGAGTACTACGCTCGCTGGCTGTTTGACCATCCGGAGAGATCCAACGGCATGGATCTCGAAGTTGCCATCGATCACATCCACTACGCCGACCTGGCGAAAGCGTTTGAGAAGGTCACCGGTCACCCGGCTCGATACATTGACACCGATCTGGACACTTATTGGGCGACTGGCAACGTGGCGGCGGCTGCCAACAGTGGGGCAGGGTACAATTCGGACCCCAACGATCCGGCCTTTATGACCTTCAAGCAGAACTTCACTGGTTTCTTCAATATGTGGAAGTATTCCGGGCGCAACGAGGGTGTCATTCGTCGCGATTACAAGCTCCTAGACGAGATCCACCCCGCCAGGATCAGATCGGCAGAAGAGTTCTTTCGAAAGGAAGACGCTCGAGGCCAGAAACTGGGACTAGGGAGTCTTTGGGATCGTGTACAGCCGGAAAACCTCAAGCCTGTGCTTAAGCTCGGTGAGGACAGGCGGAAGGGGAGATTGTAGTGGTCGGTAGTAATCATATTCTACTGGTATGAAAGTGCATAGACGCGCTCCACAATGCGCACCAGTCAGTATTATACCTCGATACAAGTATTTGCAGCGGGTTGTTGGCGCTGGTACGTAGGCAGTAGGCAGTAGATATGCGTATGTCAGCTTATGGTGCGCGCTGATGCCAATAATACACCTTGGGCGCCAGCTTTTGGCCCCTGTCAGGCTAGGGAAATTCAAGGACATGTAGGTACTCGGTACATGCACAGTATCCACGGGAGGCACCCTCTAAATCCTGTGATGACGATCTTGGTACGGAAAATAGGGATTGCCCGCGGGCGATAGAAGGCAAATACGCGTATCAAGCGAAGAGCTTGGGGCGTGAGGGTGGGGGGGATGGCCAGATGCCCACGGCAATGCCTGTGGCGGAGGGAGGCGCAGCCTAACCAGGATGACGCCTCTAGGACGCCGAAGGGGGGTCTGTCTAAGCTTCACAGGATGGGGCCTCGGTCGATCGTAGTATGTAACGAGTACGAGTTATTGGGGTTGTTGGCTTTTTGACGGCCCGTTTCCTGGAACCCTGCGCGTGCCGGGACAGAGCACAAGGAGATTCTTAGATCAAGGAACCCCAAGGCTCGAATTCGTCACATCATTCCAAACAGAACTGTGCAGGATTCCCCCAACCTTCATTCTCTTTTCTCGTTCATCCTCCAAAGCAGCTGACTCGAGCCTTGAGAGCTGCTGTATGTCGTCCCTCCTTCCATTGCTTGCAGCTACTCCCCGCGTCCTCCGATTCCCGTTGAACCTGGCTACCCACCAGGCTGTCAGACATGGCTGCTGCCGTTCAGCCAGGTGCGCCCATGAATGGTGCCATGGGCGCTCGAGCACCCAATGTCCCCCAAGATAATGGGCAGCCTCTCCCTCCGATTCCTGCGGCGGAGGGTGCTGGATCAGATGTGGACCCTGCGTCCCGAGAAAGAGTGCAACAGGTTCTCTCTTCAGATGTAAGCGCGAGTCAAGAGTTTCCGTTGTGGCTTGCGGTTGACCAACCCCTCCAGATCGGACTGAGCACGTTATTGAACCGATTGAAACAAAGCATCAGCTCCACCAAAGTACCGTCTCCCTAACCGTCGACACTGCCATGCGGCTTTGCTGACCGTGGTGTTAGGACTTTGCGGCCTTCCTGAAAGAAAGATCAATTTTGGAGGACAAACATGCGCAGGGTCTGAAGAGACTGAGCCGGAACACGTCCGAGTCGATAGGAAGACCTGATAGCAGACAAGGGACGTTTGCTCAGAATTTCAAGGAGATGACCAGCATTCACGAGCGAATGGCGGACCATGCCTTACAATATGTCGCGACGCTATATGGCATGTCGGAGGAACTGCACGAGCTGGCATCCAATTCCGAAAGAGCGCGGAAACACTGGAAGCAGACAGGCATGAATGCTGAAAAACGGGTGGCCGACGCAGAAGCGGCCATGGAGAAGGCCAAACACCGATACAACTCGCTGGCGGAGCAGTACGACCGCGCCAGGACCGGGGAACGGCAGTCTGGCAAGTTCGGTCTCAAGCGATCCGCTGCTCAGCTGGAAGAAGAGTTGCGACACAAACTCGAAGCTGCCGACGCTGATTATTCCGCCAAAGTTGAAGCCGCCTCGAGTCAGCGAAATGAGTTACTCAGCACTCTCAGACCGCAAACGACCAATGCCCTCTCGGAACTCATCAGGGAGACTGACGCGGGCCTGAGTCTGCATGTGCAGAAATTCGCTGACCTCAGTGAGAAGCTGCTTGTGGGATTCGGACTATGCATTGCGCCCGTCAAAGGGCCATCGCCAATCCCGGGTCAAGGCACCAAGAGTCTACGCGAGTTGGCTTCAGGAGTCAATAATGAGAAAGACTTGATCGATTTCGTCCTTGGATTTAGCAACCAAGTTCCGATGAGACCAAACGACATCAGATTCGAACAACATCCCTCCCTCTCGCCAAAACAACAGCAGCCTGGATTTACCGATCAATATTCCAACGAAGATCCCTATGCCCCTGGTCACGGAAGGCAAGTTTCAGGAGTCACTCCTTACCCAGGCGAGGAGTATTACGATGATGGCTCTCAGTCGCAATACCATCCGCCAAGTCTGGTACCTGGACAAACGGCTCCACAGCAACGGCAACAGATGGGAGCGCCCCCAGGTGCTCAAGGTGCTGTTCAAAGACCACCTGGTCCGCAACAGCCTCCCCAGAATCCTGCCGCCGGCAATCAGCCACCTGGACCCGTGGCCCAGACTGGAACCGTCGTCGCAAGCCAAGCTCCTGGTGTAGGACCCGGTCATGTCCGGACCGTGTCCCAAGGGCAACCTCCTGGTCAGCAACAGGCTCCAGGAACTCAGCAGAACGGCCAACCCGGCCAAATGGGCCCTCAAGGTCAAGGCAGCCCACCCCAGCAAGGGATGGGTCGTGGACAGCCACCACAAGGTCGAGGACAACCGCCGCAAGGCATGGGGCGAGGACAACCGCCACAAGGCATGGGTCGTGGGCAAGCACCACCGGGAGCAGTAGGACGGGGACAGCCACCCCAGGCCGGAGCCAATACAGGCCAAGCACCACCGGGCGCAGTTGGACGGGGACAACCACCTCAGGCTGGAGCCAACCCAGGTCAGGCACCACCAGGCGCAATGGGCAGAGGACAACCGCCCCAAGGCGCACCTGGCCCTGGTCAACCAGCGCCAGGTCCAGTAGGAAGAGGCCAGGCGCCGCCAAACGGTGCTGGTCGAGGTCAGCCACCACAAGGTGCTGTGGGACGCGGGCAGCCTCCTCCGAATGGAATGGGTCGAGGAGCACCTCCGGGAGCCGTCGGTCGCGGTCAACCACCACAAGGTCGAGGCCAGCCTCCACAAAATGGTCCTCAAGGAGCCGGTCGTGGAGCCCCTGGGCCAGGACCTCAGAACGGCGCACCTCGTCCAGCTCCTCCTGGTGGCGCGAACACACTTCCCTCCAGAGTTCAGGCGGCTCCGAGGCCAGGGCCACCTATCCGACCAGTCTTCGGGGTATCCTTGGACGAGCTCTTCCAACGAGACGGATCCGCTGTACCGATGATTGTCATGCAATGCACTCAAGCCGTCGAGTTATTTGGATTAGAAGTCGAAGGCATCTACAGAACTTCTGGATCCACGAATTTCATTATGGAGTTACGACAGCAGTTCGATCATGGTAAGATCACTGACCTCGAGTATTAGAACACTAGCTAACCAACGTTTAGATGCCAACGCAGTCGATCTTCGCAACCCGGCGGCTTTCCACGATGATATTGCTGCCGTGACCACACTCCTCAAACAATTCCTTCGCGATCTGCCAGATCCATTACTCACGGCCGCACAGTACCGAGAGTTTATCCAAGCCGCAAGAATTGAAGACGAAATCGTGCGCAGAGATTCGATCCATGCGCTTGTCAATGCTCTGCCTGACCCCAACTATGCCACTCTCCGAGTACTGACAATCCATCTCCACAAAGTTGCACAGCACAGTGCTAGGAACAAGATGACCAACAGTAACCTAGCCATCGTGTTCGCTCCCACATTGATGGGGCAGCAGGGCGGCGTGAATGGGAATATGTCTGGCGGCCCTGATATAGCCGACGCAGGATGGCAGGCGAAGGTCGTGGAGACCATTCTCAACAACACCTTCCAGATTTTTGACGACGATGAGCAGCCCGCGTAGTTGGATGGGTGGTGCATTATATGGACTTGTTCTCCGAGCGAGTTTTCACACAGCCATCTCTACCGAAACCAAGGGTTTGATGACGTGTCTGCAACTTGGGTTGAGAAAGAACAATCCAGTCTGAGAGGAAACGATGAGATTCTGTTTCGGTGTTTGACGCCGAAGTTGTCCATTGCTCACTTCCAACCTATAACGGGCAGAAACCACCACCTTTTCGCAGTTGATCGCTTCCAGCAACCTAGATTCCGAGACGAGCCCAGGCCGACCTTTGTAGGCAGGCTACCGAAATGGTGGATCGTTTGTCAGCTGACATTGAAACATTTTACAGAGGTTATCAAGGCAGACTTCAGACTTCCCGTCTTCCATTGATCCTCACCTGCCCGAATCGAGCTCCGTACCTTTTTGAAGGTGGATTGTGGCCTTTGCACCGTCAGAAATCAAGAACTCCTGGAAGGTTAACAGGGAATATCTCTTCGGACGATAACCCTCAAGTCCCAACAAAGACGGGAGACGAAGAGTGCTGCTTATTCTGGTGACTGCTTGAGGTCAAGGACTGGACAATGTTTCGTGCGCAAAACAAGTGCAACATTACGAGTGATTGAGCCAGGAGAGACGACCACGGATGGATTTCATCACAACGGATTTTATCGTGGGAATGTGGAGGTATGATTTATGAGGTTTGAGGTGTGTCCAGGATTCAAGACAGATAATCCATAATCTTGTTGCTTGCTTACCACTCCTAAGTAATAGCGCAGTATCTGTTTGGCCAAAAACTCACAGATCTTGTCAGAAATTCCACTCCAAGAACCTCCTGGAAGGTCTCTTTTGACGCACTGCTGGAAAAAAAACTATGGGGTGGCAAAAAAGGATACACTCCGCGTGGGACTCGAACACACAGCTAAGAGCAACATATTAGAATTTTTGATGAGGAAGCGCGGTGGTGGAGAGAATAGACGTACCCTCCAGATTTCAACAATAGAAGTCTGGCGCGCTACCATTGCGCCAGCGGAGCAATTGGCAGATAAATTTCAACCCGTTCCAGGGACGAATTTTCCCCCAAATTTGGGGTTTGTAGAATATATCCTTTGACAAAAGTGTGACGCTAATCCCCGATTCGATGCTAAGTTGCCGCTCTATTTGTCTATCACGTGCGTGATGTCCAGGGCCAACCTCCTTTTGAACTTTCGATCTGGACGACGATCCCTTACGATAAGCGCCACTCGTTGCGCCCCTCAAGCGATAAGGCCCGTTTCGATCCATGCAGTCAACGCAAAACACCTATCCGGCAGTTCGGACAGCCGGACATGTCCTCTCAGACGCCGACGGATGAGGCTTTGACCAAGTATTCGGCGTCGGAGGCGCGCCTTATCAAGTTCATGCCGTGAAGCCAAGAAGTCCCGGGACAGGATATCTTGGGGCGCTGTTCGTCATCGACATGGAGCGTGCAAGAAGTGTTTGATTCTCCTTGTATCTTCTGAGAGCCTTGAGGTCGGGGATTCCATTTTTGACTCGTGTTTATCCCCTCAAAAGACGACCCGACCGCGCAGCACGATGATTGCCACCTTACAGAAAGACGAGGTTCAGGTTGTCACTCTGTCACCCGACGAACGGCGCAATGGCAAGTATGCACGAGCCACGCTGCAGCGAGCACTCGAGGCAATGCACCAAGACGGTCTGGTCGTACTCAAAGGCGTGATTGACCCGGCGCATATTGCAGCCGTGAATGAGAAAATGTGCGAGGACGCGGACCGAAAGAGAGCAGATCCGGACCAGTTGTATAATCACTGCGTCAAGTGTACGTACATGCCCTCCGGACTGAGAATCTGGAAGCTAGTCGTTGACATGCAGGACGTCTTCATACAGCAAATTTCCTTCAACGCCCGCCCGTCAAGGACTCGTCATATCTCTTTGACGATGTCTACTTTAACCCGTTCCTCCTGCAACTTGCGAACGCGTCAGTCTGCTCTCCGATTTTTGACTCTTGCTCCCCTCCGTGGTGGCCGGTCCTTCAGGCGACTGATTGCGTCAATCCAGCTACCTCGGCCATAAACCCATATGGAACTGGCTAACGTCGAACGTTGCGCTGTCGGACACGTCGGGCATGCGCCAACCAGCGCACAAGGACTGCTCGTTCGCCCACCCACAGTATCCGTACTACTTCATCGCGAACATCCCGCTGTGCGACTTCACTGTCGAAAACGGGGCCACGGAATTCTGGCTCGGCTCGCACGCCCACGCCACTTCCCACGAGCAGATCATCGCCACCAAACCGGAGGAGGTTGTCGAGTACGGCCGCTTGGGCGAACCGCTTCCCGCCATCACGGAAGAGGCCAAAGAAGCACGTATGGCGATCCGGCCACCGCTGCAGCCAGAGTGCTCAGCAGGCGACATCATGATACGCGATCTTAGGTTATGGCATGCCGGGATGCCAAATGGGACAGACAGGCATAGAATCATGATCGGCCTCGGGTATCAGGTTCGTAGCAGCAGGACGTTGGTGGTACATGGCTGGTCATTATCAACCGCTTGCTAACGTGGTATCACCGTTGAACAGAGCCCACACTACCCGAATTACACGATGCGATGCCATCTACCTTTGTCACAGCAAAACTTCTTCATGAAGGCAGGGGGTCACGACATGGTTGAGGTCCGTGCCAACTTCTACGAGGATGGGGACTTTGAGAAAGTTACAAAGGACACTCATTTTGAGTTGAGGCCTGATTACCTAGAGTGAAGCAGAGTGGTTGTCAGATTGATTGATGCCATTGCTCTTCGTTGTCCTCCCCACCCAGGTCAAGGAGCTCAATTACTCGACAAGTATTTCCTATGGCAGGAGTATATTGTTGCCCTGCCCAATTTTACAACTCTCAAACACCCGTCTTTCAAATTTTCATCCTGGAGGACTTGATAGATGGTGAGACCTGTGAGACGAGACCATTCCTATTCCAGAGGGCTCAAAAGTCTCGGAAGCAGAAAGATCTGGCATCCAGCCAGTTTTCTCGTATAATCTGAAAAAGAACACCATTCCATCCTGGCAGGTCAAAGGGCTCTGTCTATACCCGTAAAGAACTTCGAGTTGCCTCTTTTGAGACTATAAGAGCATATGATAATAAGAGCAATATCCGTGTCCCATGCATGGGCTTGAGGTAAATCGGAGCGAATCCGCCTTTGTGCGATGTCGTGACCAAAAAAAGCCCTTTGCCCAAGGACCGCGGGGTTTGTTTTGAGTCGAGTCAGACCACATACCCTTCCATCCACTTTTTCTACCCTTGGTACCTCTTGTACCTTTATACTTTATATCTTTCAATCGACTGAAATTAAACAGCATACTCAGAGATCAGGCATCAAAAGCCTCACGTCTCACGAAAGTATCGAGGAACGGTGATACGAGCACCTCCGCCCTAGAAAAAAAAAAACAACAACAACCATGAAGCTAGCCGATCAGATTGTCCTTGTTACGGGTAAGTCAAAGAAAAAAAGAACCTCGCCGGCAGTTCAAACTGCTTGCAAGGACCGAAGATCTCGCTAGTCCTGACGACGACAAAACGAAACAAGTGGTGCCTCTCCTCTCTTGTTTTATCCTCGCCAAACAGAGGCTATATATACATTTACTCAGCGACTAAAAGAAAGGGGTTGTTGTAGGCTCGTCTCGTGGGGTGGGTCTAGCGATTGCCAAAGCATTCCGCAACGAAGGCGCAAAAGTCGTGGTCAACTATTTCCACACGGCCGAGAACCGCATCGCGGCGCTCACGAAGGAGTTCGGGTCTACAGAGGACCGTGTCCTGTTCTTCCGGGCAGATGTCACCAACGCCGACGAGGTCCAGGCACTGTTCGCAGCTGCGGAACGACACTTTGGGAAGCCGATAGCCACGGTCGTCAACAACGCCATGGTCGGCGACTTTGCCTTCAACGGCGACGCGAGGCCCAAGGTCGCGGATCTGACGTGGTCCAACTTCGACACGCAGCTGCAAGGGTTCCTCCGCGGAAGCTTAAACACGACGCAAGCGGCTCTCGCTGGGTTCGAGAAGCTCGGCTCCGGCCGCATCGTCAACGTCGGGTCCAACCTGTTCCAGAACCCCGTGGTGCCGTACCACGACTACACGGCGGCGAAAGGGGCGTTGCTGGCGTTCACTAGGACGTGCGCCGCCGACCTCGGCCCAAGAGGCGTCACCGTCAACATGGTTTCGGGCGGGCTGTTGCAGGTCACGGACGCCAGCGCGAGCACCCCCAGGGAGGTGTTTGATCACATCAAGGCCGTCACGCCGCTGAGAAAGGTCACCACGCCCGAGGATCTCGCCGGGGCGGTCTTGTTCTTCGCCAGCCCCTGGGCTGGTGCGGTGACGGGTCAACAGATGGTGGTCGATGGAGGTTTGGTCATGAATTGATTTTAGAGTGAGACAAAGACAAGACAAGAGACAAAAGAAGAAGGGTTTTCGCAGAGGAAATTTCACAAAAAGAAGGGAGGGAGGGTTCTCATAATTTGGCGTGTGTCTGTGACCTGGGTGGTGGTGGCGGCGGCGTCGTCTGGATCTCGACAATGGCTTTCCCCCAGACTTTTCGAGCCGCGAGGTCGTCCAGAGCCCCCGGCACGCTCTCTAGGCCCGAGTATGTCCCGTAGATGACGGGCTTGATCTGGCCGCGCTGAAGCATCTCATTCAGTCCTCTCCACACCTCTTGGTTCTCTGCTGGGTTTCTTCGTCCGGTTTCGCCGAATCTCTGCAGTGGCACACACAGTCAGTCAGTTATTATTTCCCAACTTCACTATTTGCAGCATCGCTGTTGTTTTCACAAAGGGATCAAAGAGAACAGGGATAAGGAGAAGGCATAGGGATAGAAAGAGCAGAGAGCGAGACTCACATATCCCAATAGCCTGACACCCTTGAGCAAGACGCGATTCATGGCCAGCGTTTCCATCTTCCCGCCCAGACCCGCGAATCCGGCCACGACGATGTTCCCGCCAAACTTGAGACATCGGATGCTCTTCCCGACTAGGCCGACGGTGTCGTAGACGGAATCGACGCCCACATTGCCCGTGAGCTTGAGCACCTCCTTTTCCCACCCGTCCTGGTCGTATCTGACGACACCCAGCACGCCGAGGCCGCGCACGACGGCGGCTTTCTCCTCGCTGCCCACGGTGCCGATGACCTTCGCGCCGAGCGCGTGTGCGATCTGCACGGCCGTCACGCCCAGCCCGCCCGCCGCGGCGTGAACCAGAACGGTCTGCCCGGGCTGCACCTGCGCGGTCCGCACCAGCGCGCCATAGCTGACGGGCACGGTGGCGGCGCCCACGCCCGCGGCATCGCGCAGCGTCCACCCCTTGGGCAAGTGCTGCAGCGCCGACGGCGGCACGGCAATCTGCTCGGCGAACCCACCGACGGAAGCGCCCCAAACCAGGTCGCCGGCCTTGAACCCGCACGCCGGCGGCGCCGATGCCACGACGCCCGCGAACTCGAGTCCCAGCACGAACGGCGGCTTGACCAGGCCGATGTGGTTGTTCTGGTGCGCGCCCCGGCAGTACAGCAGGTCGACGTGGTTTAGGGCGCTGTGCGTGATGGTCACCAGGACTTGGTCTGCTTTGGGCGTCGGCGCCGGCACTTCCAGGGCGCGCAGCTCCGAGTACGTCTTGACGTACTGGTTGATCTGGATGGCTTTCATGGTTTGTGGGCGCGGGAGAGTGAGCAAAAAAAGTCCCCCTTTTTCTTTCTTGTTGTTCGTTCTGGTCTCTCTATACCTCTGTTGTTTTTTTCCCTTCTCTTTGAGTCGTTGATATTTGGGAACTCGAGTCTTTCTTTACTTGATACTCTCGCTAACTGGAAAACAAAACAAATGGTCTTGGGAAAGAGAAGACGAAAGGTACGAATGGAGAGTCTCTCTCACGTTCCACGCCTGCATGGGAACAAGGGCACCGCAAAGCGTATAGTCGAGTAGTAAATAATAGTCAATGGATAGTGCCTTGTTGGAGGTCCAGTTCATAAGTTTCCGAAGCCGTGGGCCATGGTGTTTACCGAGGTC